TGGCAGCGCTGCACTTTTCCTGCTGTCCCATCTGGCCACTCTGGCCCATTAGTTTTTTGTTTATGTTGGGTTGTCGGAAAAATCGGCTGTTTTCCCGTGTGTTCGTCTGCCATGAAAAGCTGCTAAAAAGCTAAATATAAAAATCAGCGCAGCGCACACGTTCGGCTGGCTGCATTGTTTTCCCATTTTAATGGGAAATTATGTGAGTGCGAGTCAGGAAAACGCATCTTGTGTGTACATATATAAATAAGTATGTAACTGCGCCTGTTTGTTCGTGTGGGTGCGTGTGTGTGTTCTTGTGTGCATGGTGCAATGGAAAAGTGATTATTATAAATGAAAATCGGTGAAATGTGTAAGTGTGGCACCGCAAACGCTTTGAACTTTTCCATTTTCATGTTTTCACCTCGTCTTCTCTTCTCTTCCACCCCCACCTCCCCCTTGCAGACAAGCAACTCCCACTTGTACGTGTGTAAGGCAGAAGGGTGTTTTGCATTCGTGTGCGTGCCAGATAAAAGACTTTGAGGAGGATATTAGTGTCAACCGACGGGTGTATAAATACGCAATAGCCCCTAATATGCAGGCAGGTCCATTAATTACGCCAAAGGTCAAAGGTTAGGCACGAAGCCAGGACCCAAGGAGCAATAATAATAATAATGTTGTAAGAAGGCGGCGAGCCTGAGAGCGAGAGAGAGAGCTGGTGTTTTGGTGTGAGTGCGTGGTAGAACAAAGAGGACGAAAAACACGGCCAAACGAATTCGCCGCAAGGCGAATTGAAGCTTATACCAGAAATTGAAAGAAAAACAAAAGGATATCTTATTGCAACTGATTTAACAAAAGACTGCTAAGCTATATAAAAATCCATAACCATGTCTGCGGCGGAACTTGAGGCGGAGGCTGCCGCCCAGGAGCAAAAACCCCAACAACAACAGCCACAGCAGCCGCAGGGCGAGGAAACACATACAAACACTGCCATCAATGAAAATCAACAGACCACAACAAATAACTACAACAACAATTTGGATGCGGAAACCCAGCTGCAGATGCACCCGGATCCGCAGCAACAGGAAATCGAGGGCAACAGCAACAATGGGATCTCGGGACTCGGGCTCAGTCTAATGAACTCCTCACCGCCGCCGCACAGCTACCGACACTCGCGGGCCTATCGTCACTTCAAGAACCCGCCGCAGCCCCACATGTGCATCCGCACCACCACGGAGTCCGGCGAGGAGCTCTTCATCAACGTCCTCAGCTGGACGCGCATTGTGATACCGCAGGAGCCGAGTGATCCCATTCCCCTCTACGGCGGCATGCGGGTAAGTTCCCATTCTGATCAGAGAATAAACTAAACTTGAAACTTCTATCTGTCCATCCATTAAGACTTGAAAATATTTTGGTAAAGCTAAGGTCAGACGATAACACTAATTTGAAAGTCATTTTAAATTAAACAATTTCGTGTTAACATGATTTATTCAAATTTTATCTGTCAAATTCGCAAAATTTTATGAAAATCTTGGATCGTCTGGCCTTAGCTTTAGGTTGGATAGGTCAAACTAAAAAAAAAATTGACTTGAATTGCCTTTGTTGAGAGATCTAGAGAGAGATGACCATAAGCTTTGCCTAAATTTCATACAATTTTGTTTACTCATAGATAACATATGTATTTATTATTTTTGCAAGGTGCCTCCTGGCAGTCCTCGTAGTCCCCCCATCGTCTTTGCCGTGATGGCTAATCCGGAAGTCCTCAAGGATTCAGGTCGTCACAGCAAAGATCCTGAAGAGCGACGGGCCATGGTGGAGCTGATGTGCGACTTTGTGGAGGCTATGAATCCAGGCGTGAAACTAGTCAGGTATTATTCTAATCCAATAAAATAAAAGCTCAATTAATCAAGCTATGACGTTAGCTCGATAAGCCAATTGTGCAGTTCCTAAATACAAAAATTAACATGTAATTTTCATCCCCCCAGAAACGCCGTAATACTCAAGGATAGGGACATCTCGGGCGAGCTGAAGGACGTGTGGAACGCCGTGCAGGCGCAGCGCGATCGCGAGCGGGAGGAGCAGATGATGCAGCAGCGCCAGCAGCAGCACTACCAGAACATCACCACGCAGCAGATGTTTCCCAAGTCGCCGGATGCGGCGAGGGCAGCTAGTGCTGGTGCTGCAATGAACGAGGCCAGCTCGCCACCGGCTCACCTGTCTGAGCCGCTGCTGGCAGAGCACGGAAACGGCAACGGGAATGGCAACGGCAATGGCATCACCCTGGCTGTCTTTGCCCAGCAACTGGATAACAAAGTGGCTAGCGAGCAGGCGGAACAGCACGAGCAATCGGCATTGCTGGAGGAAGCTTGCGTGGATCAAACAGATGCGGGAAGTTCAGCGAATGGATTAGCAACTGTTCTGGACAATCAAACGGTGGTGGAGGTAACCGAACCAGAAGCAAAGGTTGCTCCACCGGCAGCCACCAATGGTGCCAGCACTCCCACATCCAGCAACTCAACGCACCCAGCCGCATCAGCCACCTCAACTCCACCCAGTCCAACTCCAGCTCCTGCTGCTGCTACTGCTGCTCCCGTTGCCACGCCAACTCCTCCACCCGCTGCCCCCGCCAAGAAGGAGAAACTGGGCGGATTTTTGCCCAATGGCTGCATCTTCCCGCGCTTCAAGAACAACAAGCACAAGGACAAGGACGGCAGTCACAAGGAGGGCAAGAGCAAAGAGAAGACCCTGCTGAATGCGCTGAAAAAGAGCAAAGATAAGAAGGTGGCGCCCAGCGAGCAGCCGGCAGAGAAGGCCACCGCCGCCTCCGACAATGGAACCACGCAGTACGAGAAGAACTGCATCAACAATCTGGAGTGCGAGGTGCAGAAGCTGGATCTGAACAGCGGCAGCAATGGCGACAACAGCATGTTCATCAAGCTGAAAGTATCGTCGGCCAATGCCACAGCAGCGGCAGCGGCGGCAAAGTAGAGATAATCCTGAATTTACACACAAACACACAAAAAAATCTCGTAGGTAAGTGGGAGTTAGGAGGCGGCAATCGCCAGTGAAATGGGTCACTGCATCAGCACTTAGGGCTTAGAGTCGTGGATAGAGTCGCGTGTAGCATATACAAGATTTATATATATATATACAGAAGATATATACACTCACACACCCGTTTACAACGTTGGTCAATTTTTTGGATAGCCACTCAGAAGCAGAACCAGAATCAGAACCAGGACTAGATGAACTAACAGTTGTGCCATGCTCCAGCTCATAGACATTTTGTAGACGACAGCGCTTCTCCCAGGATCTTCCCCGGCATTTAACTGACAAAATGATAAACGTATTTACATAGTTCAATATATGTATGATTCGCATACAGTTTGCCTTATATACAACAAGCCCAAAAGAGCGACAAGAGCCTAGCAAGAACCAGTTGATAAAAAAAATCACGAGAATTAATGTATTTAACATGTAATCGTCGAATGAAACTCATGCGCCAAATGAACATCCCAGCACACCACCACATCTTAGACTAACTACTAGCTCCATTCCCAAATTGTCTCATCAACATCGTCATCATCATCGGGAACCACCCACCAACCACTAGACATTTCCCAGTCCATATCCGTGCAAAAGTATTAGGAAACTTCGCAGATCCAAGCACCCTAACCCTGGATCGATTGATCTCCACGCTTTGAAGTTGAGGGGCTGTACGACGGGCGGGGAGTTTTTAAAAGCCGGCTCTATAGTGCCACAACTAACTTATGTACCTTACAGTATACAGATCCGCAAAGTCGCTATTATGTTTTATTTTTTAAAGTTTAACTTTTAGTTCCTCCTATTGGGTAACGAAAGGGGAACCCACGTCTACTTCTATTTATTTTCTATGCGTGCTTGTTGTGTTGTAATTGATACTGTTGGAATGTTTAACCTTTTTTACTGTGTTTATTGTTTAATGTGCTAACCCGATCCCTCAACTTCAAACGAAACCACTCACACGAATCATATATTATAGAGAGTAAACCACTAGAATTCGAATACATATTCGGGAAACTCCACTAAAACAAAACAAAAAAGGGAAAACAAAAAGTTTCAACTGCAATATCGGACTGAACAATGCTGCCATATGAAAATATATATATGTGTAATGACTTTGTATATAAAGTTAGCTACATATTTCCATAAAAGAACGAAATTTCAATTGTGATTCAATCGAAAATCTAATTTTGTTTCCACATCGAAGAATTTTATTGAAGAACTCTAAAACACATACACAACGTATACCGAATAAAATATAATTTTGTTTGCTAGGAAAAAAAACCTCACGTAAACGGAAATACCAACTCTTATTTTTGTGTTTAGTTCTTATTTTTTAAGGTGCCATACAGGTAGAGTGTATGAGAATTAATCAAAATTGATTGCATCCAATTGGTATTATCCTTAAACCCAGAGTTTCCTTAATTGTGAGTTGGAACGCAAAAAACCCTAAAGTATATGCTAGTTTTTAACTGGTTGTAAATGAGAGAAATGCTCGTGTATAATTAGTATTTAATTAAAGCACGAACCCAACAACAGAAACAGCAACAAACATAACACTATAAATACAAATTAAACTAGTTTAAGATTCAAGTCTTCTAAGCAGAAGAGCAAAAAGCAATAATTTTACTTGAAAAGAGAGACAGGACAAGAAAATTATAATGAAAATGCGTGTGGGGGCAAGTTGACAGCAATAGGGGTGTACCGGGAAAACTCTAGAAAATTGGAACTTAAAGATGTCTTTAAGTATTTCATAAATTTATAAAATAATTTTTGTTTTTTAAGTTTGTCCAATCAGAGATAAGGTACTTTTTTTGGCTCACCCTAACCTCTAAGATATCCTGAGTTTTCCGGAACACCCCCATAAAACTTCTACAACAAACAATCACACACACTTGCGGTTGAAAAGCCCATAAATAAAAAACACACATTTTTATATGTATATGTATGTAATAATAAAAGATCGTATTTGACAAAAGTGTAGTTGAAGCTGCGATTTATTTTGCGAAGGATTTCAATAAATATGTGGAATAATGTTTTGCTACTTTCTACAGAACGACCTATACAAACAAGGCGATCCATGGATGCGATGGATCAGCCAAAATCCGGAAGGATCTCTGGATCTTACTCATCCTTGTTGTTGACGGCCCGCAGACGTTCCAGTTCGGCACGCTCCTCCTTGTTGCGCAACAATGGGACATTGTAGTCGAAGGCGTAGAAGAATCCCTTGGGCTCACCGGTCTCCTCGGGACCGGGAACATAGGGCTGCTCCTCGTGGACGTAGGGCTTGATCTCCTCCTCAGTGGGCTGATAGCGACCCTCCTGCTGGTACTCGGCGGCATAAGGATCGGGATTGTGTCCAGCGGCAGCGGCCAGTTCACCCCACAGCTTGAAGTGCTCCTCCTCGGCCTTCAGGACAGCCGGCGTCTTGGTGGCCGGCTGCTTGAGGTGCGCCGGACGGTTGTCCTCCACATGGAAACCGGTCTTATCGGCATAGTAGTTGGCTACAAAGTCACGGCCATGCGGTTGGACATACTTGTACGATCCGGTTACCGTGCCCGCCTGATCGCGCTTCTCGTTCTTGCCCTGGTTCCAGTCCCTGTAGCCGTAGGCAAACTGACCCAGACCATCCTGACCATGGTACTGATGGGCATCGTAATGCTCCTCCACAAAGTCCTCGGGATGTTCGATCACACGACCCATGTACACGAATTGTCCCTGCTCGTTGCGAGCCTCGGGCAGAGGGTTCTCGCCGGTTTTCGGGGCATACTCTATATCTCCAATGCCCCGCAGTTGGGCGCTATTCAAGAACTGTTGAGCCTCCTCGGGGGATATGTTGATCTTAAAGATGTTTTCGCCACTGGCAGCGGTGGCCTAAAATGAAAAGAATATCAAAAAATTAGGACAAGCATAAAACGATGGCTTAAATGTTCTGGCCAATTTAACACGCTACACACTTTTGGAGAGATCACAAAATACAAAAGATGATGTCATAACATTGATTAAAGTCGCATCTCACATGTAACCCCTTGGTTTGCTTAACTTTTGTACGTTGTATAACTTTTATATTTGCACTTTGCGATCACCCAGCACTCAGTTGACATTTGTAGAGAATCACAACCCGGATTTTAATTGAATGGTTCGGATCTATTCAGAGATGTTCGTAAATATCAGCTTAATTATGCAAATTGTCTGCATTTACCAGCAACAGGGCAGCCAAGATGAAGCACTTCATTGTGGATTTCGTTAGAAATATGAGTTATAAGTTAGGTAGGTATATGTATATCCAGGTATCACTAGGTTTTCACTGTTCTGCAGTTGGCGGGTTACTAATAACTGAATCTTAAAAGCCACTGCTTATATACTAACTTTCAACTCGGCTGGGTATTGTTGTTTTTTGCGTTTTGCATAAATCTGAATGAAGATGTGCTGGGTTGTGTGTTTCACTGACCAGCAGACTGAGCTTCGCCTGTCCGGTTTCTTACTCAGCTTTAGAATCTCAATCTCGTATCCCACAGCCAGTGGCGGCAATTTGAAGTTCATTATCAACGTCGCTCAAATTCGCACTTCTCACACTCAAGCTACGGATATATTTTCAGGGAGATGCGGAGGCGACTTTATAAAAACATCATTAATTGTATGTTTGCCGCTTGGACAATTAGTTATCTAATAGCTTTGTGGTCTACCCATCGTTATGCTGCCTTTTTTAGAACCCTTTTCGACTCGGTTCAAGTGGCAATTTCAGAGCTCGTTGGCTGTCAGAGTCAAGTATCTTAAAGATACTTTTTTGCCTCTTGGAATTTATTGCTCGGTCAGGCATATTCGGCGGTTGGATTTCTTAAATCTGGTTTGGATTATCTTATCTTGATGGTTTGGCTTTTATTTTTATTAAAATTTGCTAAAAATCTACATATAATGCGTCAAGAAATCCAATAAAGTAAGACTTCTTTCTAGAAGGTTTTTCAATTTGTAAGGAAATGGAATATGATCTTTTTTATTTTCTATACTTCAAAAACTCTGGTAAGATTAATGTAGGATTCTATTTCTTTAAATTTATTTATGTAGATTAGGTACCCCCTAGTCGAACCTTTAGATCTCCCACTTTGTACTCTAACCACTTGCCTGTGATTTATTTACAATTAAGCATCTTTGAGCGACTCAATCACTTTTTACTTTTAATTAATTCTAAGTTTACTGCTATAGGTTTAACTGTGGCTCCGGGTTTCCTGTAGATCGGCGGAAGTTTTTTTGTTTAGACATGCGCCAAGCACTTGAGATCCATCCGTACTGCATAATTAGATGCGATGTGAGTATAATAGAGGATCCGATCAAATGTCAGTTCAATAAGACCGGCTCAAGTGTAATTAGAGCCCACAGATCTTGGACTTTGGGGAAGGGTTTTCGGTTTCGATCGTGCCAAAGCCAAGCTCTTGAAAGCCGCTTATTAGGCGATTACAAGGGCAACTGCGCAGTTGTTCGTTTACAAAATGACTTAACTATTTAAATAATAAACACGCTTCACGTTCCAGGCTGGGTCCGTAAACATCTTCAATCTTCGGATTGCGACTACTGCAGCAGTCTATTTTGAAAGTCAAGCGTATCCAAATCCAAAGCGCCACATCATCATCTCATCGGTAGTATCATCGCCTCAGAAGTAGTATCATCTCATCTGTTGCCGAGTGTTTCCCGCTGTGTTTTTCGGGATCTTTTGGCTATTTTTAAAGCAGACAAAGGCGAGCCAGCCTCGAGATAGAATTTTGTTGGTTCCAAATACTAAACAGCTTTAGAAACAACTAAAGTTCTGGGTTATTTATGATTCACTAACAGGTTAGCCTGTCTAACTTATGTGGCAAAAACATAACCCCCTGACGTCAAAGCAATTTCGCTATTTTGTTATTTCATTCAGATATTTTATTATTCTGGTGATTTCTGGAATCCGCTTTAAAAACAAATAAACAAACTACAATCTTATTATATGGAAAACTCATTGATTCACTCTTCAGTTTGTCATTTTGTTATTGAATTCCAATTGATGATGCCAGTGTCTAAATAAAAACGAAGACCTAATTTCAACCAAAAATCAGGTTTTCTGGGCCTGTCTTAAATTTTGGTTGTTAATTATTTATAATAAATTGTTATTTTTTTGCTGCCTTTAAAATATCAAATAATTGCGTATGATAAATGGCGCTGACGTTGTTGTTGATGGCGATCGTGCTGTGGGAAACAGATGAAATGTCAATTAAATTTGCATTTATATTTTCGATTGAAGCTCTAAGATTGACTATGGATGTCTATCTAACTTCCTTATGGTTTATGGGTAAATTATTTAAAAGAGTTTCCATGTAAGCAATTTATTTTATTTATGATGGTAAAGTCTGAATAATTATAATGAAGAACAAGGTACCATTGTTAAAAATGCGTAATAAAAACAGCTTAACTACTATAAGATATATTAGAGCTAAATCTTAATTTTAAATGTGTAGTTAGATGAGGATTAGTTTTTCAAAATAACATAAATTATTAAATAAAAGCCTCCTTAAAGTGAATAAAAGAGTATTTACGAATTTTTAAATAGATTTACTATAATAATACTCCTGGAAAATAAAATGATTAATATTTTAATACAAATTCAAAAACTTCGAGCAACTTTCTATTTTTAACGGTTATTAAAGTGTCACAGCAACTAGCCAGTGACAGCCATGACCAGGGTTGCCCCACCGATTAATCGACAGCTGCCCCTGTGCTCCCATCACTAGATCACCCCCTCTGAATCTGGTCACACTGTCTGGCCACCAAAAACCCAAACTTAATTAAAGAATTTAATAATTCTAATAATAATTAGGCTCAGGAACCTACGCAAGGCGAGTGCGTAACCGAACCGCGATAACTTTCGATATTTGGCCATCGAAATCATGGTAGTGTTGGAGACGGAGAAGGTAAGGCGATAGAAGGCAAGCCGCATGGTTCCGATTTCGATTTCGGCTGAGCCGTGGCAGGAACAACAAAAACAGGGTTGTTGCACAAGAGGGGAGGCGACAGTCGAGCGGAAAAGTGTGCAGTTGGCGTGGCATCATCATCATTGTGTTCATCGTTTCCTTTTTAGTTCCCCCTCGAAATCATTTCGCGCACAATTATTGCTAATTATTAATCGCTACTTGCACGCTGTTGTCTACGTCATAACTATCGCTCTCTCTGTCTGTCTCTATCCAGCTATCTCGCTTTCGCGGTCACTCGCTCTCTTTCCTCCTCTCGCATTTGCATACCACACGTTTCCACTGCTCTCTCTCTCTCTCACTCTCTTGTTTCTCTCGTTTTGGCTGGAATTTGTCAAGACATATCGGGCGCGTGTGTGTGTGGGTTTCTGTTTCTTTTTGCTACATAAATAGGCGAAGCAGAGAGACAAAAAAAAAGAGTGAATTACTGCAATTAGGCAGTCGCGAAACAACAGTTAAATCATATTTTTTGTCGGCCATTGCAGTCGCAGCCGCGAGCATCGCCAATAAACCGTTGGTTTTCCTTTCCTTCTCCACTTTCCACCTCCTTTCTTTGACGTTTTTTCAGTTAAACGCGCCGCTGCTTTGAACTCGCACACGCAGTCTCGAATTTTAGCCGCAACAAAGAAAATTATTAAAAATAAATTTTAAACTCTTTAACTCAAATTAAAACATCAATTCCAATTCTTTCAATCTCAACAGGCAATCTGTGTTTTTATGTCAAATACGTGCGCGTGTGTGTGTGTGCTGTAATTCCATCGCCACTTTCGATTCGGAGTTTGCTAGGAACATTTGTTCGCCTTTTTTACTAGTAGCCCCACCCCCCCAAAAGGGAATCAGGATATACTCCACATACACTTACACCCCCCTCAAACAACCAGTCAATACCAACAAGTTTAACGAGTTTTTTTGTATTATCATCACTTAGTTATTTGGTTATTAAAACACAAGTGAAAAGCGAACTGCAGGGAAGATATCAAGAAACAATCCAAAATCCACACACACTCGAACAGAAATCAAAAGCTTCGCTCTCTCGCACACACACACGCACCACCACAACAACAACTATCACAAACACCACGACAGAGCAGAGACAGAGAGAAAGAGAGAGCGGCAAGTGAATCACGGCGAATCTGATCCGAATCCTCTCCGGAAACCGGGAACCAAAAAAGAACTGATCCTACCATCAAACGCATCCAAAAAACACGGCCGCCAACATGCAGAGCGACTTTCACAGAATGAAGAACTTTGCCAATCCCAAGTCCATGTTCAAAGTAATACTCTCAGTGCGCCTGTCGCTAAGCCAAGCTAATCTAATCTCTTGAATCCCATCCCCGATCTCTTTTTTTTTTTGTTATTTTCTTAAGCAGACCAGCGCCCCCAGCAGCGAGCAGGGTCGTCCGGAACCACCCACTCCGGCTGCCGTTCCCGCCAAGGCCGAGGTCAAGGAGGTCAAGCCCAAGGAGGATGCCCAGGAGGCTGGTGAGCCCGCAGGAAACACTGCACCCACCAATGCGGCAGCCGCCACCGGCGACGATGCTGTGCGCACCGAGCACCTGTTCAAACACCCGCTCATGAACGTCTGGACCCTGTGGTACCTCGAAAACGATCGGTCCAAGTCCTGGGAGGACATGCAGAACGAGATCACCAGCTTCGATACCGTCGAGGACTTCTGGAGCCTGTACAACCACATCAAGCCGCCATCAGAGATCAAAGTGGGCAGTGACTACTCGCTCTTCAAAAAGAACATTCGGTGGGTTTTCATTTTGGGTCTCTAACAAGATAAACCTTATTAACTGTGATTTTTTAAATGCAGTCCCATGTGGGAGGATGCTGCTAACAAGCAGGGCGGTCGCTGGGTCATCACACTGAACAAAAGCTCAAAGAGCGATCTGGATAACCTATGGCTCGATGTGGTAAGTTTACAGAAGAAATAATTTCAAGTTTAAATACGTTGATCTATCTGAGATTACATATTTAATGTTTTCTGTTCATTTATGTTCCATTTGTACGTTCTATTTTTAGTTTTCTCTTATTTTACTAATAATGTAATGATATAATAGGCTTCACTGTGGATTTTCAGAGTATTCCATCCATCTTTTATTAGATCATCATTATATTTTCTATATGACTTACACCATTTCTATTTCCCTTTACAGCTGCTTTGTCTGATTGGCGAGGCCTTCGATCACTCCGACCAGATCTGTGGGGCTGTCGTAAACATTCGCGCCAAGAGCAACAAGATATGTGAGTAGTCACACCCTCCTTTCTTTGAATTCCTTTGTTCAACGCCACCTGCCTTTCAGCCATCTGGACTGCCAACGGAAACAACGAGGAAGCCGCCCTGGA